TGATAAAGTTTTGTAATGGGTCTTAAAGTTTAACGCAATGTAGACTACAATAGGTGGCGAAAAACATGCAAAAAAGGTCAAAAATAGGCCCAAAATGCCTAAAATCACCAAAAACAGCCATTTTCAGCAATCATTCTACCCTGATCCAGGAATTATTTGAATATTTGTGATTTTTCATGAATTTCAAAAAAACCCTAAAATGGTCAACTTCGGGCCCCTGAAAAAGAGTGATAGATGGTCCCAAAAATTCTAATAAAATTTGGGGACATTTCTGACATCGGAAACAGCAAGTTTTTCATATTTGCAGAAAAAAAAATTTTTTGGCCATTCGATTTCACAGAGAATCGGCCATATATTGACAATATATGATTGATTTAAAAGCTAAAGCAAGACACGTTTTATATTGACTAACATAATTTTTGCGTGGACATGATTTTTTATTTCTCTACAATTTTTTTTATGTCTGCATAAATTTAATTAAAATAAATATTTTCTGGAATAAAACTTGCATGGATTCATTATTCAAATCGTACAGTAGAATAGACTCAAAAAATGTAGAGTTAGATTTATACATTTTTTTGAGTTTGCATTCATTTTTAATTCTGTCCAGATTTCAAAAACTCATTATTTACCATTCAACGGTTTCATTGCGAATGGATTCATTGAGCACATACCATCTTTGACTATGTGTATTTCTATAATAATAAATAATAATATTTTTAAAATAATCATTTAATCAAGTTTTAAGAAAAAAAAACACTTACGTCGATTATTGCACTCGTTGTAACACTTAACTGTACCCGGGCTAACATATGTTTTGTTGTTGCTCGCACAAACCGGAAAAAATTCAAGAGTAAGAGCGCATCGACAAAAACAAGGACGACGCCGAATAACTTTAATATCTATCGAAAATTTGAAAAATTTTATAAACTGCGGTTCCATGAGAAATAAAATTGAAATTTCGTTTGTGCTTACCTGTGTTGTTGCATATGTTATAACAATCGAGATCGTTTTCGTTGTAATATGTTTTTCCGTCACTTCCGCATACTGGGGCATTCGTGTCGCTTAGTTGGCAGTCACAATGAGCTTTATCATTTTCTCCTTTCACAGACGGCATAGAAATTTCTGAAAGAAATATCGATAAATTTTTTCGACGAGACAATTAGTTTTAACACCCAAACTAGAATAAAAAAATTAAGAGCTTAACAATGATCGTATAATTACCAAAACATAGAATTGACAAAGCTAGTATACAGAGAATTTTTTTTAAATTCATGGTTGAAAATGTTGAAATGGTTTTAAATTTGCAAAAGCACCAACTTGAAGTTCAGTGTTAGAATTATTTTAAATTTGCAAAAGTACTGGCTCTCACTATTTATTATATACTGCATCAAAATCGTTAAAGTATTTAGTTTTCGTTCATAGCATTATCGTTGAAAAGCTAGATAGCATAACTCATTCCATATGATATACATTCAAATTATTTTGAATATGATTGAGATATAGTTGAGCGTCTTGCGGAAGCATTAAATCTTACAGACATTTCGTATAATCTTAAAAATAAGACTATAAAAAATAAACTTTTGTACTTGACTATCCATTTATCCTTACAGTCCAAAAGCTATGAAACTGAATAATATGATATGTAACATCAAATGATAATGTGACCGACACATACAAAGTGTAAGCGAAATAACGCAGTAACGATTTTGGTAAAGTCAGGCAAGCAGAATATCTTTTTACATATGGGTATATACATGCATTATAATTGTTTTAACCAATAACTATAGTATTAAGCATAATAAAATTAAAATAATATTTAAGAACGGTGCGATCTAGCAAGGCGAGTGGACACACATGACGCAAGGACAAGCGCATGATCTCGCGAGAGAAAAGGCGGTACAGCCAAGATGTACTTTATGTTACGCGAGGCTGGTAGACATACTTCGGCGCACGTAGGCCCAACTGTCGCTTGAATGTATGGGTGAGTACGCCGACGCATTAGATTGGGCCCCCACATGTATGTCAACTCGCGCATGTATGCAAGCCGAATACAGAGAAAGCATGACACACGCGCGGGAGATTAAACCCGTGGCCTATTTCGAAATGACACGGAGGAAAAAAACATAGAGGAAAAAAACATAGAGGAAAAAAAACATAGCTGGCAAGTTCCCTAATAAAATTGAATATTTCGGAAAATCTGATATCACCATCGGAAAGCTCCTATCGAAATTTCCTATCGAAAGCATACCTTCATTTATTTTTTCAGTCTAATTACGAGCGAATTTCGCTTGTAGCGAGCCATGCAACGCTGAAAACCGCGCGACCTCGCTGAAAACAGCTCGAGATCAGAAAACAGCGAACACAGTAAAAGAAATTCACTTGTAAAACATTGTAATTCGACGAAAAAAATAAATGAAGATACGCTTTCGATAGGAAATTTCCTCAGCTTTCCAATGGTGATATCAGATTTTCCGAAATATTCAATTTTCATAAGAAAAAAATCAAAAATAAACCAAAAAGTTCACTTTTTCCGCACTGAATTTTTCGAGATATTTAGCCCTTAATATTTGATGGCGAATACTCGGTGAAAATTGGATATTTCAAAAAATCTAATAATACCATCGGAAAGCTGTGGAGTAGTCAGTTACTTTTTTTTAGATGAGTTTTGATACTTTTTTAACGACTTGGAAATCGAGTAATAAGTCCTATTCGCGTGAAAAGATGACTTTTCAACCTCCAAAACACAAAAGTGACATAAAAAAATTAACTATTTTCAAATTTCATGTTCACACGATTTTTCTCACTCCTAGGACCCCTAGGAACAATTTGCGAGGGTCCGAGCCGCTGGGCACGCAAAAAAAATATCACCTTTTTTTGTTGAAACGGCATTTTATTTTGGGATTTGACCATATACGCGTGCACTCGTATATACGCTTGTACTCGTGCATACACGTGTACTCGTATATACTAATCGGACCCGGCGATGACTTCTCCAGGAAGTCAGGATGTTTTCACACCAAAATCGACCCGGGTAGCTCGCTCGACGCACTAAGTCGGATTTCGGAATAAAGTGTCAAAGTTTCAAAGTGTCTTCACGCTCATTTTGATCCAAAAAAAGAGCCAAAAAGAAGTAAACCTCGCTATCAAGAAAGCCACCGACTAGTTAACATCGTGGCTTCTAACAATAACACCTGAAGCACATGGTGTACAAACAAACACTTTGGTTGAGACGTCACTTACACTAGTACCCCAAGGAATGATTTATTTCTTGGGGGTACTAATTGTTCGACGCTGCGCCACCTAGCAACCAAACTTGAAGCTTTGAATGGTAGAAGTGGAAATTAGCGAGAAGATGATATGGTTAGTAGTTTCGTTTGACTGAATTTATTATTGAAATCGCAATCGTCCCTAGGCCTCACTCTTAAATATTTGTTCGAATCGTCTGGGAGACAAATGTGCAGTGCGCTCCAGGTTACACTAACAAGGAAACCACATGAGTTGCGGGTCACCAAATGTCCTGAAAATTTTTTTCTGGTCTCTTGGTACCTGATAATGAAGCCCCTTATGCTTAATTTGATCCATTGGGCCTTAGGGCCCATTTTAAAAATCATTTTCTAATTTATGAAAAAATCATTGTGATTTTCTAACTCGTAATGGGACGTCTTAAACAAAAAATTGCAAAATGCACAAGTCTACGAATTAGTCAAAAAATACGTTTGAATTTTGTTAGAATTTTTGAAACCTGCTATCACCAGCTATTTTCAAAGGTCCCTGAAATTCTCAAGAAAAACGCAAAAACGCGTCAAATTTGGGCCTTTGAAAATAGGTGATAGCAGGTTTCAAAAATTCTAACAAAATTCAGACGTATTTTTTGGCTAATTCGTAAACTTGTGCATTTTGCAATTTTTCGTTTAAGACGTCCTATTACGAGTTAGAAAATCAGAATGATTTTTTAATTAATTAGAAAATAATTTTTAAAATGGTCCCTAATGCCCATTGAATCAAACTCAGCATAGGCGGTTTCATTATTTGGTACCAGGAGATCAGAAAAAAGTTTTCAGGACATTTGGTGACACGCATTTCATGTGGTCTCCTTGTAAGAGAAAACTGACAATGTGCTCCAGTAAGCTCGTAGAGTCGACTACTAAATATCGGCCAAAGGCTCTCTCTTATATGACTTTAGTTCTTTCTTCGAATTTGGGAGTAGTGTGTCCAATAAATGACCTTTAAAAATATTTTAGTGTCTTCCAAATTCTTGAGTAAATCGGTTATTAGTTGTGCTTGATCAATGGAGATTTCATTTAGTTATCTGTAATCAACGAAAAAACGGAGATTTCTTAGTCCTTACTATTGGTGATTTATACGGCGAATCACTTGGCAATAGAAAGAACGAGATCGATGTCCACGACGCACGAGTTTTCATCCTAAAATGCATGCAGACCAGCTCAGAGTAAAAGTGTGTGAAAAAGAAAAAAAACTATCTCTGCTGCAAACGTGAGCGAGGGAAATTTTATTGATAAATGACGAAGGTTAAATATATGCGTATTTCAAATGGTTGTATCCATGTCTTATGTATCCACTAATTGTATCCATGTCGATGAAAAAATATTTAATGTAAAAACACATTGCAAGTATAGAGTAAAACCAAGAATTGGCGACGAATTTTTCTTCCATTGAAATGTTTATAACCATCAACTTCGTTATAAAAAATTGGTGTATTTCTATTAATGACTATTAATTCACAAACTACAAAAACACCCTTAGACATGAATTTTTAACTGAGCGACAGCAATTTCAGTTTCATTTATTAACAATTTCAACGTTCTCATAAGTTAAATGAATTTCATGCAGGAATTGAAATCGAATGAAAGTAAACTAAACAAGTCTAAGGATAAGTTATACTAGTTGGTCAAAATCGAAATATAAATTTGACACATAAAATTATCAGTGACTATTTGGTATTGATATTTCGATGAACATCATGATAAGTTATGAGTTTATGTTATTATTTATTTATTGATAATACATTATTTATTTTAACAATAAAAAATCTCCTTCAAACATTCAGTGACAAGGTCCGTTGGGGTTAACGATCTTTACATCTAATAAAACAAAAAATGTATATGTAAAATGTAATATAGTTATGATCGATGTTTTTGTTACATTAAGAAAAATATTTTTGAGTCTATCGTTCTCAATGCCACTTACGGTCATCGGGATGGCACTGATTATGACATCTAACTTCTCCTTTATTGGCATATGTATTACCATCGCTACCGCAAACTGGCCAATACTCTTTGGTATTGTCGCAAACACAATCGTCTTCGCGACATGATACAAAGGTTACTGAAACTGAAGGCAAAAATAAAACGATTATTAACGAAAACTTCGCTTGTTTTTGTGATGATTTTTTACCAGTGCAAACTAATACGAAGATCAACATTGCTTTCATGGCGAATACTTTTTTGTTAACCTCAAATAGAGACTCTGCAGTCAACTTGTCGGTTACATTTATTTATACGATAATTTACTTTATTTTTAATGCGTCAATTGCGATAAAAATAACGTGTCATAAAAAATAAGTGAGCATGCGTTCATGATGGAGAATCGTCACCATTTTTATATTGAATATTGATAATAATTGTTAGTCAAAGTAGCTTTGTTTTGTTTTTTTCCTCTTGGTCGTTTTCAAATTGAGTTACTATCTTATGGAGTCACGGACAAACTGATACTAGAAAGTAGATCAACAAACAAGCTAACAATTAATTATAAGTTTCGATTCTTTCATAAAATGGCCAATTTAATTGTAATAAAAGTAGAAATGTAATGTTACATTATCATCTCTAATATGCAGTATTACATTAATATGCCTAATATGCAACAGTATGAAGTAATGTATTTTAATATAATTCATATTTATAAAATATATTTATAATTCAATCAATTAGGAGATTAAAAAGCTTGGAAATATTTAATTTGACAAGTAATTTTTACTCTTGCCGACTCTCAATTTTCTTCAAAATTTAAACTATCAAGGTGAATAAAAAGCATGACACATAAAGAAAGTTTATGACAATACAAAGAATTAAGAAGTAGAATTATTATCGAGTCTGTAGCTAAAAAATACATGAAATCAGTAGAAATAACAGCTTACAATTCGCTGCGTCATCTTTTGCAAACTTCGTTATTTTGTAAGAATCTTAAAGCGTTTTCGTTACCAACTAAAAGAAGTCTTTTTTACTCGATAAATCATTTAAACGAAGACCCAATCAATTACGAAAGAAGATTTTTTCCAATTTGAAAGCTTCATGTATTGTAATAATAAAATATGCGATGAACGTATGTAAAGCTGAATTTATCAAAACTTACAAACCACTTCTTTTTGTAAACCCCCTCTTTTGTAAACCTCTCTTTTTTTTCTTTCAAATAAAGCAATTGTAATGTATATTTTATATGATTTTTTTGATAAATTCATATGTTTCTATACAAACTACATGAATACATTTCATGTATATTTTTATTTTATTTCGGAAACATTTCTAGTGTGTTTTATATTCAATGTATATTTGCACGAACACATCTCATTATTATTAAGTCACGATTTTAAAAGAACACGTAACAGTTCCCTGCATTACGTTTAAAGAAATTCATAAAATTTGCAACTAAGCTTTATCCTGCCATTCAGCTCGAATCGGTGATGATACAGCAATTCAAACTATAGCAGTAAATAACGCAATTTGACATCATAAAGATTCGGTAATGTAAAGACTGATTTGCAACATTAGGAATTTGTGGTTGACTATTGATCGCTCATAGATTTACGAATAAAATTGCCACGCAATAAAGCCAGCTCGCATCGAATCAAACTCGATGACAACATATTACGCAGTTGTATTTTAATACCTTAAATTATTATACTTTCCACCCTTTACACGTGCATCTCTTTGTACACTACCGTGAATTCGCATAAAATCTTGCTTATTATTAAATGTGACCCTGTACGTTACGAGTGCGTGTATGCGAGGCAATAATTAGCCGAGAAAGTTTGAATATTTATGTAAGAACTGGCTTAGTGCGTGATATCTGGCTCATTTCATATTGTGAATATAAATGCTATCGATTCGAGGCAGAGGTCGAACGTGGATTTATCGATGGATGAAATAGCCTTGAACTGGCGATGGATAAAGTAGCAAGGTTTTGTGAGGGTAGAAAAGAAAAATTTATATTATTCATCAACATTTATGATGACCAAAAAAATATTAATAAAAAGTAAACAAAATTTTCTAGATCTGTGTCGATCGACTCTTTGATATTTGGTTTTGTTGAATTTTGAACTCAATAAATATTTCAATACGTAAATGCATACTTTTGCTAATTCTCAATTAGTGCAATCTGCGCTTATAATAATGATGTGCTAATGAGAAAAATAAAATTGCAATTCCTAAATACAGTTACATCGCGTGTAAACATTAACCAACAGCTACACATTATTCGAGAGTATAATATCAGCCTCGTGTGCGTGATTCCGTTTTTTTGAGTTGCAACGCGAACTTTTACGCGCGTGCAGTTTCAAAGTCATGCACTTACAGCGATACGTGTTAGACCTCATACATGCGTGCGAATGTTACATGCGTATATACACGGTAGCCATTCTTTTCATATGTCCCTGTTGAGCAGGCACGTATTTGTTCAGTCGTACTCGCTCTCGAATCCCTTTGGAGTACATAAGGATTTGGATGAGCTTTTTGTGCTGAATTTACCAGCGTGAGGATCGTGATTTTTTAGGTGGTCTACGTGCGTCAAACGTTTAGCTGCATGCCCGAAACGTAGCGGTTTTATCGAGGTAGCTTTATGTTGGTTTTCTTTGACAATGAAATCATACCTACAAGCGTGTATAGCGCATTAATTGATATGCCAAGCTATCGCTAAGTTTCTCTTCGTGATAGCTGCCAATTAATCCAAGCTCGAGAATCTATTCTATCTCGGCAATGTCATTTGTGTGGAATAATCACTTCAATGTATTATAAAGAAAAGCAAAAATAAAAGAAAAAGCAAAACAATGTGAGAACATAAAGTGCGCGATAACGAAAAAAAAGCAATAAAAAGAGAAACCACGGGATTGATAATTGTAAAAAGTGCGATATCGGTTGTTTCACGCCGTACGATAGTCAGCGCACGAGCCTAGGAGTTATTATCCATCGATAAAAAGAGAGTTACAGTTGCAACGAGAAATATCGGTATGCCGGAAACAAAGAATTTCTTCTGATCCGCATTGTTTTTGAAGAACTGAGCCTGCAAAGGTTTTTTTCACTCTTATACATATATATTTTAGTCGTATGCCGTAGCGACTGATTGTACAAATAGTGGCAATGAAAAAAATGTTTCTATTTTATGGAGTGTGTTTTCATGAAAAGAAAAACGAAGAAAAAACCAAAACCAACAAACAAGAAAGTAATAAACGATGCGTCCGTTTCAGAGCGGTATACGCATCTCTGACTGACCGTACTCGTACTTTTACTACTTGCCGTCATATGTATATACGAGAGTAAAAGTAGCACGCGGTATATAGTATAAAATGCGAGCGGGCGCACGCCGGAGCATACAGTCTTCAAATGGAATTGAAACGATGAAATCATTCCTGCGCTAGCTGCGACTGTTTTTTTTTTTTTGCTTCGGATCGAACGAGTGACTTTTTACTGTTTAGCTATTCAGTATATAGATATATATGGATTTTCCGCAAGCGATTTATTATTCAAACTGCTCGTTTTATTTCTTTCGAAAAGTCAAAACTATTCGAGGAAGAAATTGTAAAAGTAATTAAATAGTGCATGCGTGCGCGTGCTCGGAGTCGAACGCTTAATACTTGAAAGTCCCTTACTGCAGTGGTGAGCTCTGTGGCTCGTCTCTTGACTCTAATTATGCAGCCATTGCAAATTGAAATCGCCCACAACTCACAAGAATCTCGAAAGGGGCAAAAGTTTTGCAAAAAAGCCATCGCACATGATTTAAAATTTAATCCACGCTTGGTATTTCTTGGCTCGCTCTTTTCAGTCACTCGTTAGATCATCCGATCTTTATCATTCATAGCAGTGTTATACATCAGTTGAACACATTGAATTAGCCTGTGAACGGTTTTTTTCAAATGAGAAAGTATTTTCGTAAAGATAAAAAAAATTTTGAATTCAGTTGAAAGCACGATAAAAATAAAAATAAATTCTACATGAATTCACCATGCATGCATTCAGTTGAGCTAAATCAATGATCTTGTTCCCCTTACAACCGTTCAAATTTCAAAGAAAAGACTATTAATTGTAAAAAGAAAAATATATGCCCCTCCCCCGCTGCTGCAGCAATCATCATGGAATATCCAAATTGCACAACACGCACTCCTATGGTGGACCGCACATTACAATAATTTCATAGCTCTGCAATCTCTCTCGAGCTTGCCACGAACACGGTGCGTTGCGATGTTTGTTTTTGCGTACACATTATGCGTTTTAATTTCTTCAACCTTCCTCGTGCGCCCCACCCACGCAGCTGCATATACATCACGCGCCATACTGAGCGCCAGATTAATTCGACGTAATTCCGCAAGAGAAAAAGATGAAAGCTCGCGAGGAAGAGAAAGAGGAGGAGAGAGAGGGAGAGAGAGCAACTGTCTCTCTTTATTCACGATGCGGGTATTGTGCAGGCTCGTGCAGCTTTTTTATATTCCACAAGCGTATCCGTGTGAGGCACGCATGCACGTGTGAGCAACCCTTACAGGTGGACGCTTGCTCGGAAGGTATATGTGTTTGTGTATATAGCAATGGAAGCTTTCGCAACATCATGAGCTCTCTCTTTCTCTCTCGCGAAAGAAAAAGTCGCTTTGGAATTGCAAATTTGCGCGCTGCAACGAAATGCATACATACACACACACATACGTGCTCTTGCTCTCGCACCGTTGAACAAAACGGAGCTTGCAGTACGCATATCCATACGTTATAGCGCGTAGTTTTCTTCTTGCGCTCAAATCCCTTTTTAATACGCACGTTTTGAAACGTTACATACTGCAGCTGTATCGTATACATATATTACGCAGTGCGAGTGAAGCTAAGCTCAAAAAGTCACAATAGGACAGAGAAAGTAACGCATCGTATGGGCATTATGCATATTATGTCATAAATGATATAGTTGTTGAAAGCTGTACATCAAGAGTAATTCAAAAGGAAAATCACAAGGAAACCTCCTCACCTAAGATTTGTAGTTCCATTAATTTTTACGTGGATACCAGTACTTTTTTTGGGGTCTCCAACTGTTACCTATAGGTTATATTATAATATTGAAGCTCCCTGTATTCAATTCAATCCATTTGGCATTGAAATCAATTTTTAAATAATTTCCCTTTTTATAAAAAATCTTCGCAATTTTAATGAATTCAAGTGAAAAATGCAAAGAACAAAAAAGTCATAAAATCAGTCAAAGATTACCTATG